CTCTCGTGCAATGTCGCCTAATCTCGTTAAGGGCAACGCTAAGGGGTCGTTAAAAAGTGCAACGCTGAGTAGGCTCGCATCTAGGGAATTTTCACCGCGTTTGCCACTTTTCCCTACTCGACGGCGCCACCGGCGCGAGCTTTCGGCAGTGTCCGCACTCGCGCGTGTCTCGGCGAAGTTGGTTGAAATCGATTTGCAAGTCCATATTAAGGGGGCGTGCATGAAACGTGGAAACATTTTTCTTCGCGCCTCTAATGAGCGATAAAGTGGCGATGGCTGGCGCACGCGTGAAAATACGGCCCGTCAATACCGGAATCGGTAATAAAGTTGCGTTATCGTGTGAAAATAGTTGTTGCTCGCCGCGCAAACTAATCTTATCTGAGAGGGTGAAGTTATTAGTAACGTCTATCGAATATAATGTAATCTTATCGACGGTTCAGATATATATTGGCGAGAAAGCGAAATAAAATGCTGCCGCGTTCGATAAAGAACGGCTTTGTCTCGGGCAACTTTTACCTCGCAGGTGTTTCGCCATTTCTATCCGCGATGTATCCTAACCTTACCCACCGGCGCGCTTTTCCCCTTTCCCGTCGGTTAGCCCGCGATCAGCTTACGCCGAGTATTCATCCTTAAGCATCGTTCTACGAAAGCCTTTATTATCCGCTGATGCCTTTCTTGCACCAGGGACCATTGCCGACTATCGGGGACCGTGTGCGCGTAGAAGGAAAGAAGAAGCCCGTAAGATCAGCGAAGAAGGAAGCGGAATAAAAGCGTCGGTTCGGTCTCCTCTCAGCTGTGGGCTCGCGACACGAGCGCCGCGCGGCTCGTTGGTTACCTAAGCGGCGCGCATGCGCGCGAGAGAGAGAGCTCGAACGCGTGCAACAAAATTCTTACATAATGAGGTGACTCAAATAAGGTCACCGACAGGCGGCATAGGCTGCAACGTCGACGTTGTCGTCGCGCAACCATTGGCGGCGCGAATTTCCTCGTTTCAACCTGTTCCCCTACCACAGAGCCTTGTGCTTCTCCTTCGATCGTTTCTTCCTCGTTTCACCCGTGACCCTTTTGTCTGCTGCGTGGAGAAAACGGGTGGAAAGAGGTGAAGAGAGAAGGAGGAGGAAGAGGGTGGAACAGGAAGCACGTGCTTCCGACGATTCGACTGGCTTACCGTCGTTTCGACGAGCATTATAATATAATAAGAACGAGATTAGCATTGAATGAAGTGGGTGGCGCGAGAGCGGAGAGCGATAAAGGAACTAATAAAAAGCGGCCTCTTTACGACGACCACGGTGGTCCTTGTTCAACGAAAGCTCCGCCGGCGAATAAATAAGAAGCGCGCGTTGGCCATCGTGTGCCCGGATAGGGGGCAGCAGCAGCAGCTTCTCTCATCTCGCGGACGAAACGGGCGAGTTTGGCGCACGGATCGCGACACAGAAGCTCGCGAAAGCGGGCGTCCCACGCGGAAGCTCTCTACGGCTTCGTCATCGTTGCGCGTCGATACTAAACTTCTTCTCCCCTTCGTCTCCTCCACCCACCCCACCGCGGCCGTTAATTAAATTATCGTTGGAGCAACTGCTGACCGAGCCTGGAACTTTAACTTCCAGGGCCTCGTGTCATGCCGTCCCCTCTTTATATTCCGCCAACTTTTCCGCCGGTTGTCTTTTGTCGCTCACCCCGGCCCAAACTCTCTCCGCGAAACGGCGCCGGCACGACTTGCCCATTGTGCTCGTTCGCTTCATAGAGGGAGAGAGTGGGGAAGAAGCGTTTTGGCTCAAGTTTTCGAGTTTTAATCCTCCAGCTTCGTTCTCATGTATATATTGTACAACGGTAACGTATCGCCGCTGAGGTTTGAGGGTTTTAAAGGTTTCTTTCTGTATTTCTTTCTCTTCCCCTTTCGTTTTAGACGCGTGTAATCTCGTATCGAGTGGAAGCAGAATGATCAACGTGCTTTTGTTCTCCCGCAGTGATTAAAGGGTCGAATTAACAGTAGATTCGAAGCGTAGAATTATTTCACGGGGTGCAGAGGGTTAGGGTTCCGAGAAGCTAAGCAAGCCTATCATGCTTTATTGCCATAAAGAGAACGTTCGGCAAATAAAGTACCGTTCTCTCGTTTGCCTTTTTTCCCGTACCTACGTGACCAAGGGCATACCGATAATCCGTCGCATGACATCGAGTACGTTCCCTTAAATTTTTGAAACCTACGGCGCACGAGCATGCACGTGAAGCCCGCAATCGTCCCTTGCCACGATAATTTCCCTGGCTTTTCTCCGTCCGTTCGCTCGCTCGCAATGGCAAACATCGAAACCAGGAACGGTAAAAAGAGCAAACGAACGTTCTGCCTGGAATCTAAAGTTAACCGAATTGATACGCGTCCACCGGCTGTTTAATAATTTCTTGGCTCGTCACGTACGTTAGGATTCGTGCACGCCAGTCGTCGCGAGTCGTTTCCCGATCCGTCGATGCTCGTTCGTGCACGTGCTCTCCGATAATCAGCCGCGACATCGGCTTTCCTGCACTGGAGAGACGCGGCTGTCGTGACGCACGCCGAGCGAACGCGCGAAGATAACGTCTGCGCAATTTTCACCAGTTGCAATTTTCATTGTTCGACCGCGAACAATGCCCCACGCGCTCGTCTATATTCGGGAAACCGAGTTCCGCGCGAGATCGGTCCTTTCGCGGCGCGCCCTCTGGCGAACCGAGCGTCGCGTAGCCCTCTGGTGGCGGAGGAGCGAAGCTAACTTGGCGCTGCCGTCCACGCAGTCCTCGACGCGTGAAGGAAATTCGATTGCGGCATCGTTGCTACTTTAATACGTCGACGGCTATGAAACGAGGATAGGTTGGCGCTGCAGTCTACGCGGGGCCCAACGCGTGGAAGAAGTTCGACTTTGGGCATTGATACACGGATAGCCGCGGAACGTGGTTAACTTGACGCTGTAATTTACGCGGACGGTCGCGGAACGAGGTTATGTTGGCGCTGCAATCTAGGCGGGCCCCAACGCGTAGAAGAAATTCGACTAGGACATTATTGCTACTTTGATACACGGACGGCCGCGGAACACGTGGTTAGGTTAACGCTGTAATTTACGGGGACCCCGACGCATCGAGGAAATTCAATTGCGGCATTATTGTTACTTTAATACGTAAACGGCCGCTGAACGAGGTTATGTTGGCGCTGCAGTCCACGCGGGCCCCGACGCGCGGAGGGAATTCGGCTGGGGTATTATTGCTAATTCAATGCGTGGACGGTCGCGAAACGAGGTTAGGTTGGCGCTGCAGTCTACGCGGTCCCCGACGCGTGGAGGAAATTCGATTGGGGCCTTATTGCTACCTTAATGCTTGCGCGGTCGCTGGTACAATCGACTGCTGGTCGAGCTGCGTTCCGCGCTCGTAACAATAGTTCGAGGCGTCGACGCTGGACCACCCGCGGTTCGCCATTAAAGTCGCGACCGTGGAAGGGGTAGACGGTCGGGCACCGGCAGCCGGCAACCAGGGGACAAATATGCGTGCCCTTTCTTTCCTCCTCTGTGTCTCTCCGTTCCACGGCAGGAGAGTCAAAGGAAGAAGAGGGAACGATGGAGCAGAGGGAAAGTCTCCTTGACTACGAAGGTAGACCACGGCGAAGCGGATTCGGAAATCGAAACGAGGGATGGGCCCGGCGGGAATTAAGACTCCGGGAAGCAAGAGCGAACGAGTGGACGCCGATCCGTGTAACGCGAAACTTCCTGGCGCCAAACGCCTTTAAGCCTTCGCTCTAATAATATCCCATTGTGCTACCATTAGCCACCGAACACGCCGCTTCTCGCGCCTCTCCGCCCCCGATCGTCGCGCTCCATTCTTTCCGTCTCTCCCTTTTTTCTCTCCAACTCCGTACGCCGACTCTGCCACCGCCTCCAGCGCCGAGCAGCGTCTTTATGACGCGCTTTGTAGCGACACCTCGGAACATCCAGACCCTGTGAGTCCGTGTGCGAGCATATCCGGCCGAGACAGAGTTGCAGCAACGTCTGCGTTGCCTCGTTAAACTCGAAATTTTTACCCTTTTTGCCTCGCCCGCCTTTTCTCCACCTCTCTCTCTCCCCCTCTCCCGTTCTCTTTCGTACGCGCGCTTGCTGGCAGCTCCCTCTGGCTTCGAGGAAGCGCGCGTGTCGAAGGAGAAAGGCGATGAGCCCTCGTTACGCCCGAACGAATCCGCTCCGCGAGCGAGCATCGCGATGTTACGGGCCCCTGCTCGTGGGTGTAGCTCGATTAACGGATCGTCAGTCACTCGTCGATGGATTGACCGATCCGCGTGACCCCGTCGCGACGAGATCGCCGCTTAAGATGATGGATCGATCGATTTTAATTCGGGATGGCCCGCGCGCATAAATCGCTCGCGCGAGTGTGGGCCGCCCCGTTTCGCGACGGGTGACATTCGGCTCTGTGGACCGAATTAGTCGCGCGAGGCTTCGGTAAAAATAACCAACGCTTCGCGTATCATTCCTCGTGGTTGCGATACCTCGAGCCTTGTGCCCTATCTCGTTAACTCGCGATACCTCTAACATAGATCTGCGTCGCGTTATTTACCCCGGCTCTCCGGAAGATGCAGGTTACCGAGAGACAATGTCGTCATCCCGGGCAAGCATGGTCGCTTGTACATGATCGATCATGGTTTTAAAAGTCGCCGCTGTCATATGGTATGCAACGTTTACAGCCAAGCAGGCCGTGTGACATCGCGGTCTTAAGCGTACGCGCAGTTGACCCTAATTTGCGAGCAGATAAGAGGTCGGAAGATGAATCGAGCACGCTGCCTCTCGCTTCTTCGTATCTCACCTGTGCGTTGCGAATAGTCGCCATTCGACGACCACTGACTCGTCGTCCCTGGATTTCACCGCGTCGCGAATTCCTCGTGGCGCCACCGTCGGTTTCACCTTCCACGCGCTATTCGCGTAACCTGGAAGGTTGTTTGAAACCGCGTTCCGCTCGCAACCCTAACAGTGGTAATTAATTATGCGATTCGATTGCAGGGAAATCCGTACGGATTGAAGGACACGACGGGAATGGGGATGACGGCGGATATGGGTGCCGCATGGGGCACGGCCGCCCTTCAGCCTACCGCCACGGGTTACTACCCCTACGATCCAACCCTGGCCGCCTACGGGTAAGTTTATCACCAAGTTTCATGGTCTCTCGGCTCCATTAGATTAAACCACCAGCAGCCGCGTTCCTCTCTCTTTCTCCGCGTCGCCCTCCAGCCGCGCTCGGTGCCGCCATTAAAACGAGAGTCACGATCCTCTCGTACTCGTTACACATACCCGGCCAGCAATGGTTATCGTTATCGCGAATTCGTAATATCTTGCCAAGAGGAGCACAATTTTCAGCGACCCGTTCATGTTCCCACCAAACGGACGATTCTGCTGTTGGGGGTCCACCCCCACCATTATTTGAGGATCAGCAGGTCTCAGGTATCCTCCGTTGGTGGAGTAGCTAGAAGGGATGCTGCGTTTCGTCCCGGGCCTGCTAACGGACTCATCGGTAAGGCTACCCTAGCAGGCCAATCCAAATTTTTCCAATTTAACATACGTTCAATGCGCCAAAAACTAGATACAATAATATAAAAGAACCAAGACGTACAAAAGAGTTACAAATGAATACTTAGACTATGAGATCGTTGGCTCCAGCGTGAAGCACTCGCGATCTAGAATCGAATTTAATCTACCGCGCTTATCGTTATAGGGTAATATAAACTTAACCCTTTGCACTCGAGAGGTGAGCTTCAGTCGCCATTAGTTAAAATTTCGAAGATCGATATTAATTAATATACCAAATTTAAGACAGTGTAACGGTATGCAAATAATTCTACGTTTTAGTTATTACTCGATTTCTTATTTACTGCTGAACAAAATATCGTCAGCTTTATAGCAGAAAATTGTTGAACCCCTACTCTTCTGTAGCCAAAAAATCCTCGAGTTCAAAGGGTTAAGAACTATCTTATATTAGTTAGTTATTACTCGATTTCTTATTTACTGCTGAACAAAATATCGTCAGCTTTATGGCAGAAAATTGTTGAACCCCTACTCTTCTGCTAAAAAATCCTCGAGTTCAAAGGGTTAAGAACTATCTTATATTAATATGCGGGTTTGCCTGTGTGTGGAAAAGGCACGAAAACTATACAGCTTTTGGTTTTAAGTGGGTAAGGAGATAGATAAATAAATATTGATAAATAAAATAAATAATTAAATAGGTGGAAAGGGGGATGAGGAAAGAGGAGGTAGATGGGGTATATATATTTTTTATTTATTTCCAAATTATATTATACATTACTAGTAATTATGAGCAATCTGAAAAATTACGAAAAACACAGCAAAATGATTAAATGGGAGAGATAAAAGGATAAATAAAACGAAAAATTTCTCTTAATATCGGGGATACTAGCCGCCGTACTAAGGAAGATTTCGTGTGGATTTTCTTTTTATTGGTACATGATTGTTTACAGTGTTTCTTAACAATTACATACATGTTGTTTTTAACGTGTATCGAGCCACCAATATTTTTTTATGTTTTTACGGTATGAATCGTTCCGATCTATTTTTCGTAATTTCACGTTGATTTTACTGGCGTTGTCGCGAATATCGTCTGTGTTATACAAAATTGCCGTATTGCCTGCTTTCCCCTAGTCACATGATAGATCAAAGGTACATTTTCGCTGTTTTCCCTAGCAGGCCCTGCCTTAGACACTGGGATACTACTGAAGTAATATATATATACAGGAATTGGGGGTTTCTCGAGGACTTGCGGGAAAGTATGCATCTTGTGGCGAGGGCTAGAACGATGATCGCTACACTGCCATATCCGGTTCCGCGTTGAAGGCTACTAGGGGTGGATTCCTCTGTCGTGGAGATTTCGTTTTTCCCTCTTCCTATCCGAGTCTCCCGTTACGGTTACTCGAGATGCGAATCTCGGATCATCCCTTGCCGACATCGTCTCGTTTGCCAGCGTGTCCTCCGTGTGGTATTTACGAAGCGAGAGACCCGGAGGACGCGGAGGTAGGCGACAATTAATCCATAAGAAGGGTGACGAGCGAGCCGGATGCTCGTTCTTGCCACTCGTGGATAAGAGTTACGAGGGTGCTGTCGACACGAGGGCCCTTGTACTTCGTCTCGTAGGGGGAGGCTGCGGAATATCGATGGCGAGGAAATAGAGGTCGCGGCGACCGTTCCAGGGACGACACGGTCGATCCCGTGGCCCGCAAACATTGTATCGTAGTAAGTGATTTCGTCGTGGGCGAGTGTATTTTCAACGGACAAGAGGGGCCGGCCCACGGGCTCCGTATTTTCGTTACGGATTCGTGTTTTGATTAATAATGGCAGCGCGGACGAAAAAGTGACGGGCAAATTTACGGGCGGAAATTTATTTCCCTCTCTCTCGCTCTCTTTCTCTCTCGCGTCCCTGTATCGCGATACATCGACGATATATCAAAATCTGTCAGAACGGTGGAACGATTATTTATCGAGGCGGAATTAAAATGGCGAGAGTGGGGGGCGGAGGAAAAGACACGCGCGCGTCGCGACGCGTAATTGTAACCCCGACGCGCGGCGTATTCGAAAGGCGCGCGGCGAGAAATAAAAGCGGAAAGGGACACGCGGGGCCGCCGTTTACGACTCGCAATTTCGTTGTTTACGCGCGGCGAGGAACGCAGCGGGAAAATAAACCAGGTCGCGTTACTTTCTTCGCGAGAGCGTTTTGCCGGTGGAAAAAAGGCAGGCGGGACGGAAGCTCCGTCCTGGTAACCTGCATGTAGCGACGAAGGTGGCGCGACGGTAGGCTCCTCGCGGCAGCCAGCTTCGCGTGGGAACGCCGAGGGTTATTTTCGAAAACCATGTGTCGCGTGCCGTTGACAAAATGAGACATTGACATAGATTTCGACGCTAGTCGTAATTGGAAACACTTGGGGTCTGCTCCCGATTCTTCCTTCCCGCTCGTAAATCTAGATCCTCCGTTCTTTTCCGCCTTTTTCGTTTCCCTTATTTCGAAACGCGTCCCTCGTTATAGGGGGACCTCGTCTCTTCTGCGCGCGCGCGGGTTTCACCGTGCATGCGGTAGAATTTCGGTGGATAATTAGGAGGAAAGTATCGAGGTACCGTGTGCCCTGGGACGAGATAAGAATCGCGAGGAAGAATTCGATATCGAGATAGATCTCCGTGGAGAGAGAGAGAGAGAGAGTCGTGATCTCGCCGATTCCTTTGATCTCGCCGTGAGCGGCGCTCTCTCGTCATCGTGGAACGCGCGAGGCGGTCGGGTCGTCCCTCGATTCCTTCGGTCCCCGATTCTCTCTGTCTCTCTGTCTCTCTTTGCTGGGCGCAGGGGGATGAGAAGACACCGAGATTCGAGAGAAACCGTGCACGGCGAACGGTTACAAAATGGCTGTAGGCAGCCGAGTGGGCGTACGTAATGGAGGCTTCCAGGTTGCCTGTATATATAGTCGCATTGCGAGCGTAGGGAGAGCAGTAGGTCTCTCTCCGTAGGAGAGCGAGTGAGTGAGTTTATTGATTGGCTTCCTCCCGGGGTTGGCTCGCCTGTTCGCCAGGCCTCTCTCTACTCTCTGTTCTCTCTTTCGCTCGAGCTCCCTCTCCCTCCCCACGCTAGCGCCCTCTCTCTCTCTCTCTCTCTCCTTCTCTCCCTTTCTCTCCTTCGGTTTCTCTCGCGCTATCAGCCTCGTTCCTCGGCCTCTGCTCCGCTTCTCCTCTCCCACCCATCTTCTTCCACCTCTAACGTGGCGACCTCCTTCCACCCTCGAAAGCGAGCCAGCTCCCACAGGTGCTTTACTTACTTTGCTTAGCAACCCTCGTGTCCACACGCAAACACGCTTGCTTTTCTCTCTCTCTCTCTCTCTCTCTTTCTCTCTTTTTCTCCTTCTCTGTTACGTTCCTTCTTCTCTCTCTCTCTTCACGCGCGCGTTCCACGTTCTCCCCGATGCGCTCGCTCGTTCGTTCACGCACCACGTCGGAGTTTTGATTCTCTCTCCCACATCCAGCACAGGCACTCTCTGTCCCTCGCCGCCTCTTCCTCCTTCTGCTCCACCTCTTTCACCTCCTGGAGGATCCCCGGTTCCGAACGAGCGCGTACACGTCGCCGCGGAGCGTGTGTGCGGCCCCGTGCAAAACTCCCAACTGTAGGCATTGTTTATCGTGGAATATCCACCCTCTTCGCTCGGCCGGCGCTCTCCATTCCGCGCGGAGCCTCTATTAATTTACTTGCTTAATAATACGACGGCCCTCTCTCGCCCTCTTCGCTCGGCGTCCTCCCTCGTCCGCTCTATTTGTCTCCTCCGCTCCGTGCCTCATCCTCGTCGCTTCCCGTTCCTCCACTCTCTCTCACTCTCTCTCTCTCTCGTACTCTCTCCAAAGCGTCACTTTCGTCGTCGACGACGGGCCGCTATTGTCTCCGCGCGCACTCCGCTTCGACTACGCTTCGAACGCCCCGGATCGCAGAGAGCTGTCGGCCGGGGACGATTACGGGAAACGAGAAATACGTCGTTAGGGTCCTTCCGGGATCCTCTCCTTTGCCTCCTTTCTTCCGTGACGCTGCATTCGACGCGAGTGTCGGCAATTTTCCCTTTTCTCTCTTTCGCTCATCCTCTTTTTCTCCCTCTTTCTCCCTTTCGGAATTTTCTTTCACGTTCCTACGGTCAAATCCGAGTTATCGATTCCGACCTCTATACTCACCGGCCCGTCGAATTTCGACGGTTCCAATTATTCCCATAAATTCGATTACGGTCGCACTCGCCTCGTAAATAACCCGTCAATCGCAGCCCCCCGTCGATTCTCTAATTCGATATTGCGTATCATGGTCTAAACGCCCGGGTCGATTAAACGAGACTAACGAAAGGCAGGGCAAACGAGGTATAAAGATGCTCGTTAAATGGGAATAATATGGAAATTACAAAGCGGTTAACCATTTATTAAACGTTATAATGAGCACGCGAAAAGCAATGCGATCGGTGCTTATCTACTTTGTCGAAAGACTCGTTCCACGCCGAGTTTCTCACACTTCCTAAGCACCAGCGTTCCCTTAATTCGATCGGAGTACGTTAATTTCCTGAACAGTTTATACAGGTTTATACGGCTAATGGATACCGGTTGATCGATGTTTTCCTCCCGT